ACAGCTCTTAAGATGCTTTGCCAGCTACAGTATGCGTTTTGCAATGGTTGCTCAACCACAACACACGTGGGCTGAGGGCACAGGAGGGGCAGCTCACGGTCAGCTCCCACCTCAATGGGATTCATTTTAGATACGTTTAACACAGCGGATTTCTCATCTCAGCTGCCACTGCAGAGAAAGGAGGCAGGGTGGGAGAGCCGGAGGGAGAAGGGAAAGGCTGGTCTCAAAGCAGTCACAGGCAGCCTGGACTAGTGATGCAGTACACATTGCTGGATCAGTGGTTGTCCTAATGCTGTGGGGAAACTTGGCAGCTCCGCTACCACTGTGGGCTGTTGAGACAAAGCCAGTGTGGAAACATCACATGAAAAAAAAAAAAACGGAAAGAAAAAGAAAAAAAAAGGCCAAATGCATTATGACAAACCCAAAGACAATAATGTTTTGTAATCCAAACAAGTCGGGCAAGCCAAGCCATTGTTGAGAATCTGAAAAGCTCCAGAGCACAGAAGGGTAAAAATGAAGAAAAAAAAAATCATACAGCTTCTAATAGAAAATTCAGAAAGTGTCCTGAATTTTAAAATAAAACAGTTCATTCTCCTGAGGAAACATCAGAGCAGAGAGAGTTTTACACCCTCTCACTAAAGGATTCAGTAATTAAGTGTAGGAGTGGCTATTTCTTCCTAACATCACCTGCACCTCTCTACATGTACACACAAATGTCAACACACAGTGAAGTCACTGACCAAAAAAAGGTTTAGACAATTGATCTTCTGCATCGCAAGTGATAAAAGTTTGGCAGCGTTTTAGCATATCAAGCGCTGGCTGGCCAAAGCTCCATCTGACGTTTTCCAGAAAAGAAATATATATGCTAATTTATTCTCAATGATAGATATTGTCCTTAGAAACAACTGCAGAACAGACATGTCCTCGGCTGCTGTGTTCTGATGCATCAGTTAAATCTAGGAATTAGAAAGGGAAGAAAATAGAAGCAAAACCCTTGAAGTGGAAGATGACTAACCACCTCAAACCATCACCTCTGAGGGCCCACCAAGCTGGAAATCTAACGTCTTGTCCACAATCTCAACCACTAAAATTGACCCAGACTTTTGGATAAATAGAAACAGATTGCTTGTCCTCTGCTTAGGAGATCACTGCACACAATTTGATGGAAAACAAGATTCCCCTGGGCAAACACCCCGCAAAAAGAAATGGATCCTTATTTAGAAGGGTTTTGATTTAGATAAATGTATGGCGATAGAGTAATTCCCTCACCATTTTATTGTCTCAAGGGAGGCAAAGATGTAACTGATGCACTAGCTGTGGGATATGGAGCAGCTAAAAGATTCTGATTCTTTTATTCAGGACAAAAACGTAGCCCCCATTTTCCACTTCCAGCCAGAAGTCAAAAGGAGCAGCAGGGAGAGGTAGCCTCATCACAGTCTCCACATGCTTTTGCTTGGCACAGGCCACCTCTTTCTGTGACAACACTGAGGTGAATTCAGACCGGAATTTTCAAGCCACAGTTTAAGTATTTTTTCTGGAATAACTGCTTACAGCTAGGCATATTTGTGCTAAACTGGTGGTATTTTTTGCATTGATCATATTAGAATCTCTAACTGGTTCAACAAGTGTCCTTCACGTCAGGAAATTCAGAAAAATCAACAGGAAAATCACCTCTCTTCTCCCCCCTGCCATATGCTAGAGTTAACAGAGTTCACACATCAGTACTGAAAAACAATACATGGAATCAAATCTGCCACCCATTTAGACTTACCCAGCCTCTTCTACCTTACTCATTATTCTACATTTAAAAATCTGCGTTCCTTCTTATTTATCTTTCTTCTAATGCCAAACAGTATTAGCTATGCAATACCCATTTTGAATAAGGTGAAGTGCTATGCACAGATTCAAAAATGAGGTACAAACTGACAGAGAGAATTCTCTCTTTGTTTGATTTTTAACCGTTCCAACCCTGTATACATCCCAACATTCCGCAGGTGATTTTGAATGGAAAATCAGAGTTAGCAGAACTTCCACTGAGCTTTTTGATATGGCTCTCAAGTTCTCTCTAGTGTGCACAAAAAGTTATTTTTCCCTCTTCATGCTTTACTTGGCATTTATCAGCACCAAATTTGATCACTGTGATGGTCATTCATGTAAATCACTTAATTTTTTGCAGCTCCTCATGGTCTTTCTTGTTTATTAGGAAAAAAGCTGTGGTGTCACCTGCCAATGCTGCAACTTCAACCATTCTAACCTCATTTCCTTTCCAGACCACTAACCAACCAGGGAAACACAAAACAACCCCCACGAACCTGGAAAAACCCTCTTTGCCTTCCAACCGTGATGAAAGAATTCTGCTCTTACCCTCCTCTCAGGAAGTTCTTGGCCCACGATATTTCTGTAGACTCTCCCCCAAATTAGAAGGTCTTTTTTCTTTCCTTCCTGTCCCTCCCCCAGTAGCATCTCACACCTTGAAAAAGAGATTTTGGAAGTCTACATAACCCATTCTTCACTGATGCCTTCAGAGACATCTGGGAGTTTAATACGAAAACTCCCTTTGCAGAAACTGGGAGAGTGTCTCATGATCTTCCAAATGTTTTGCTGTTTAAGTCCTCAGTTGATCCCATGTTCTCATTCTGTTCCTATTCTTTTTAAAAAGGCTACAGGCATGAGCAAAATGTGAAGTCATAATTCTCAGGATGAGATTGCATATTGTACTAGCAGCTGTTCAAGATGATGGACAATGATGGTTATTCCCAGATTAACATGTTCTGCACAAACACTCGAGATAATATCAAACTTAGATCATTATTCTGCCATTAAAACATCATTGTATTTATGGTCTATAAAGTATGGGACAAATCAGAAGCATGTGGAGTTGTAGTTGTGTGTGAGCATCCGATTCTCCAAACCTACAAGAGTTCAGGCTTTTTAACCCCCTCCGTTCTTTCCCCTCCTGAAAGGGCATTTGCTAATGATGCTAACACACAAACAGCATGGAAGTAAAGACCGTTTGCATACATAGGGCCTTTGCCTTTATAGCTCACACACAGAGCCCAGAACAGCAGGGATTAGGACTTCTCTAAGTGAGTGGGAGTCACTTGAGAAGGAGCCTCTTGAACTGACACAAAACAATGAAGACATTTAGCCAGAGACAAAAAACTCATCGTTCTTTCTGTCTTCACTTCATTAAGTCAATGCTGTTCATTCAAGCCTTTTCATTTCAGGCTGGCTATAACTTTTATTCAGATAGGCCAGTCTCTAAACCAATTCCTCAAGGGTTACCCAAATCAAGGATCAGCTGCACTGGAGAAACAGAGGCAGCTCTTCCCTTCTGCAAGCATTCCTTGGCATGCAAAGGCATGACAGCCTGCTGATCCAGGTTCTATAAAAAGCTACTTCCAAGATAGGAAAGTTGTTTAGCTTTCAGAAAGATCCCCTAGCATGTCTTCCTCTTTAGGTATTTGCTCTGCTTTGAGTGCTCACATGTTAAAATGAACCGAGGTCCTGGCCCTGGTGGGAGGTCAACATATTTAAAATGTTAACTTGTAAAAGAAAAGTACATCTGAAAGAAGAAAATACCTTTCCCTTGAGTAGGCAGACATACACCTCCATGTTTGATGCAGTTTACACTCATCAAAGACATGTACAAAGCAGGCATTGGCTGGGGAGAAGGCTGACCCCATGCTGAGAAGGACATGTTCTTACCAGCCAGTCATGTTGAAGTCACGGTAGAGCATCCTCTTTCCAACTTCCTTGCGCTGCACCCTCCGTGGAAACTCTAAATGTGTGAACTCATTTCCCAGCAAGTGGGGCTGCATGTAAGCCTGTGGGCAGAAAAACCAAGCCACAGATACCACACGAACACCATAAAACAAGACATCATCTATTTTTAATGAGGCAGCATTACCATCCCTTCCCGCTCCCTTCCCACACACATTTTTTTCCCCCCACTTTTTAAACAAGGAAGATGATGAGCTCCATTTCAGCAAACGATGTGCACATACACCAGTTCTGACACTGCCTGGTGTCCGGCAGCAGCCTTACAGGGAGCAGTCCTCTTGCCCTTAAAATCCTTCACTTCTTCACCTTGCTCCTTAACATTTGGGATCTTTAAAGTACGCCTCATCCACTGTCCCTGAAGGAGTCTGCAGGGCTTTGTAAAACAGAACAACATCTCTTTTTGTAAGTCAGTGACCTAAGAGAAGGGAACCATCAAAGGACAAAGCCACGGAGCAAGCCGAGACTTGGAGGGGTGTGTGTGAAGTTCAAGCTTTTTAACTCCCAGTTCAGCTATGCCAACAACGCACATGACCTAATATTACTACCACACTTTAACTGTCTCTGCCTCGAGAAAAACGTTCTCTTTTACCTGCTCGGTGTCCTGCACCCCATCACACACGACACTGCAAGTAAACATGAGTTGCACAGCAATTTATTTTCTTGTTTTCTAAAAACTACTTCCTTCATGCAGAATAGACTTTAAGAAAAGCAGCAGCAGTTTTGTGTCACAACCGCAACTAATGTTTTTGATGGTGTTAATGGTCGAATGCTGCTGCTGCTGTCCTTTCTGGTGTGCTGCTCTGCAGATGCTGGGAGGCCTCTTCGCCAGAGCTGTGCCCCAGGCTCATGTTCTCCAGCGCTGACTGTACTTGAGAGCATCGTGAGGCTCTTTGTCCACTTCACAAATTTTTGGTTTGGATTTATACACGGATCAGCTGACACGATAGGTTAATCCTAAATATACTGTATTTCTTCTTTCTGAAATAAACCTCACTCATTTTTCTTTAATATTTGCATAAACAAGCCTTTCTCCCTCCCTCCCCAAAGCCACATTGTGAGGGAGCTCTTCTGAAGACACAGTCAAATTGGCTACAGAACTGAAAAAAGTTGTATTTCCTAACCTTTTGGCAGATAACTCTTTTTTCTTATCCAGCCAGTTAAGGCAATAAAGTCTGTCTTATCTCCAGCAGCAGCTGCCGTCAGGGCAGACCAAATGAGCTGGCTTTATTTTGTGGGTTTGTCATAAATCTAGCGCTCATCAAAGGTGAGCGGCAGGAAGCAGTGGAAGCCCTTATTGATCTACCTGGCAGCTATCATGCAGATAGTTCACAATAAAATATTTCCTGCATTTAAGGGCCAAGCCTGCTCCCACTCCATTTAGTAGGAGTTGGATCAGGCTCAGCACATCACAGCACTAACCTTCCATCAGCTTATCCTCGTTTCCGTCGCCAGACATCCTTCCAGAAAACACCTCAAGCTCGCCTGAAACAGGGTTGAGGGAGATGGCTGTGTGTAGCCAACAAGATTGGATTCTGCTTTCAAGAGGCGGCTTTCAAGCACGCAAGTGTGATCTTGACATTGTGATCCCTTCCTGGAACAGGAGCTCCATCAAATTCTCTCTCCGTGTACAGTTAAGGGAATTACATTTTTTTTCCCTGCAGCCTACAGTGAGCCAAGGTCTCCTCCTCCTCCCAAATATTGTTTTCAAGGACCTTCTAATTGAGTCACTGTTCCTCATTACAGAGATGGTTGCGAAGCACTAGTCACTTTTGAGAGGTCTAGCAGTATTAGTCCAGATGAGGCTTTTCATACTTTCAGAGCTTGGGATTCTTTATCTAAAAGTACATGTAAACTTTTGATTTTTATTTATATTCATTCCAGTCACAAAAAAGATGGAACATCTCTAATGATTTATTTGATATATTGCTATACACTGACAGCAGAACACTGGTCTTTTTTTTTTTTTGTATTTTTTAATTCTTTCTAGTCTATGACACTGTAAACAATTAAGTCAGTCTTCTTTGAAAGTGCAATTCAATTCACTTTTAAAAATGCACAGCCTATCTTGATTAAGTCATTACAAACCACTTCTAGCTAAAGACTACTGTCGCCTGCCTACAAAACATGAAGCCTTATTTAAAGCAAAAAAACTTCATACCTGACATCAAAATGAAGTTATTTAACCTTTAGATTATGAGATTACTTATTAGGCTGGATCACAGGTCCAGAAGAAAAAAGATACAGGGTTTTAGCAATTTTCCCCTTGAAAACAAGAATTTCCTTTATTGAAAAGGTAAAGCCATTGGGAAAGACTGCATTTCATAAAGATTTACTCAGATGGAAAGTCTGAGGTCACAAGTGAAATAAGATTAATAAAGCTGGCAGAGTTACCAGTGGACTGCTAATGTTCAAATAAGATTTCTCTTCCGCAGCCAAGCTTCAATGCCTGATTTACAATCCAGGGATCTTAACTTGATTCTAATATTTTTGGCGTCAGTGGAACAGAGGGAAAAGAGCAATTTGGAAGCTTCTGGTGCCTGTGAGCTGAATTCTTATGTGAAGAAATGGTGATTTTTGTCAGGCTTTTTTTTTTTTTTAAATTTTCTATATTTTTTTACCCTTTTCTTTTTAACAGTTCTTTTTGATGCTTCATTGGTAATTCTACAGAGAGAAGAATGTTCTACTATAAAACTCAGCTGCAACTTCCAGTTGGGTTTGCTGAGAACTGTTCTCCATTTACTATGAGGCAGGACTCTTCTCCCTTTCCACCCCTATCAAACTGTGCTGGGCAGCAGAACCAGAAAATAAATAAAAAGCAATACTTAAAAGATCTACAGATCTTTCAGGTAGATATACAAGCAGACACAATGAAATGCCCTGAAGTGATCAAATGAAAACCAAAAATGGTAAGTGAACTGACTACCAGAATTTCATTTGTGATGAGGGACCATATTTTCCGTTTTTTCATTTGTTTAGTCTCAATTTGCAAGAACCTCAGATGAGAAACACCATTCAGAGAAGTTAAAATCAAATAAAAAGAGTGACTATCAAACACTTTCTATATCCTTACAAGGTATGTTCAGACAACATTGTTATTTTCCATCATTTTTCCTTCAGAAGCTATTACAGTTTTTTGGCATAAATCTGGCATAGTCTGCATCACGTGTTTTTGGTACTTTGCCATTTTATGCTGCATTTTGTGGCTGGATGTATTACATTCAACATTAGTTGTTTAAAATGGAGTCCGCTCAAGGAAATATTAGTCACATTTCTTTCAAAAGGCCATTTACTTCCTGCTGTGTTTCCTGGTGATCAGCAAAGCAAACATGAAATTAAGATAAACTTAGACTTACACACCAGTGTGTCAGTTAATTAGGTGGCAGAGAACACTGCATTTATCTTATCATACCTTGATAAGCCCTGCTGATGTCTTTTCCAGCTCCTCCAGTACGCGCTGCTCTGGGACAGCACCGTCACTTGTAGTTTCACTGTATTCTGTGTTATTTTCAGAACTGCTGTTTTCCCCTACGTCAACTGTATCTTACAACTTTATCCTCTTATCATACTGTGCAATGTTCTCCAATAGGCTATTCTACTATATGGGACTACCGCTCACAACAGCATGCACAGCACAATGCATCCAGAAGCTTTGCAAATTACTCAGCTGTTATCATACGGACATGTTTAAGCCAAACAGAGATTAAAGCTGGTGGTAGAAGGAAAGAGGGAAGTGGGAGCCAAATCCATCCCTGGATTGGTCTGTCCTCTTATGAAAGGCCAGGACCCTTTCCATAAAACCACACATCTCTTTTACCAGAGCATCGTGCAACATGTCAGATGGCCAAAGCAATCCTACGCTGGGTGATGCGGGGAGCTCCAAACTGTAAGAGAATTCAGACACATCTCACTTTTAACTGAAGCACTGAACTGACATTTAGGAGATCTAGGTTCATTTCCTCTTCAGACTTGGGTTCCCCAAGCATCCTTTGGCAGATAAGGTAGTATCACTTAATCCTCACCTGAACAATGGAATAAGAATAGGTTCTCTTTGAACCCACGCCTGTCTGGGCTCACGAACCTTTGTTTGAATGGTGCCAAGCACAAAGAGCATCCATGGCTCACTGCCACTGACGGCCAGTCCGTCTCTACTAGTCATAAAGCCTGCCCTGGTAGCAGCAGCACATCATCTTTGGTCTGAGCTGTGAACGTCACATGACATCTTCAAAGTGCAACTTTGATAACTAACAGAAATACATCCATCTGCAATATATTCATTGATTTTATACATATTTTCCAAGGGACTAAGCAACAAAATCTATGCCATTTACCACTGCAATTTAGACTATCACGACTGAAATTAACAGTCTCCTCAGAAGATGAAAAGAAAATTGCCTCTGGCAGTCATTGCCTGTTCAATTGCTGAATGTACCAGAGCAAGTTCCCAGTCAATACTGGATTTTGTTTTCCCTCAAGATACACCGATATAGGAAGCCAGGGCTTTCCTGGAGTAGGCGATGTGTGAAGTTCTCCTGCCACAGTGCTAAAAAGAAAAGAAAGACGCAAGAATTCAAAAGAAAAGGAGGCTTGTGAATGCCCAACAGCAGAAAGGAAGGTGTATGGTGCATTGAACCTCTACAGAAGCCGAAGGACAAAGGGAATACCAGTGCAAGGCTTTCAGGCCTTACATCTTAAGAAGTGCTCTCCAACTGAAGGATTGCCTTCCGCAATACTCTCACAAGTCACCTGATGCAGAAGTCTGCCTCTGCCATACAGCCTGCCTGAAATTTGCAGCTGTATGCTGTCCTCCCACTGCAAAAAAAGGGTGTGCAGATGGAGACAGCGGGATGACCATGCCCAGAGCTGCTCAAAAGTCAGAATGACTGGGTAGTCACAGAATGCCAGACTGGTTGGGGTTGGCAGAGACCTCT